TCTTTGATCATATATTCAATAGCTTTTTCTAGAAGAGGGTTCGGCTGAGAAGGCTTTGGAGTAGGCATTTGGGACAGAAATGAATGGAGAATCGGAAACTTGCTCTACAACCACTATTGTCTAAAAAAATAGCGAAGGACACGTTAGATAAGTGAACCTATCGAAAAGTGCAGACGTACCAAGCTGCGCTTTTCAGCTGTTCTCCACCGCCACTCTCATGGAAAAGAGATACATTAGGGACAGACCTGATACCAATCTTATTTTTTCGACAAACTTTTCGTACAACGATAATTCAACGTGATTTTTTCAAGAATTACAGAATTTGAGACAACGATTAGATGTCATGGTCTCTCGTTGAGGACCGATTGACCAGGAAATTTGGAAATTTTCATAGCTTGGGTAGGACATCTTATGTTTTGGCTCTTTACAAGACAGCGCTTCACGAAGCTCTGCCTCTTGAAGATCATCTGGTGGATGAATCAAATCAAATAAATCTTCAAGGCTTTTGGTGGTATATAGATTTCACTCCATCAATGTTTAGTTTGTTTTTTGGCAGCATCCTGGAACGAACAAAAACTTCTGACGGCGAGAATGCCTTCTTCATTATCTCGCAGCTAATCGCCAAGCGAGGACGACATATCTGTCGCCATTTATTGCACCATGAAACAACCCCGTGCTCGCCCTTGGCGCTCTATCAAGCTCACATTTGAAATGGCAGAACGGGAACAACATGCTTTTTCCAAATTCCATTCATTTTTTGGATAGCAGTCGTCGACATTGCGGTGATGTTGCAATTAAGCCACAGAAGGTCGTCCCATACTGGCTCAATGAGAATCCAAAGAGTTGCAATTAAGCCGACAGAAGGTAGCCATACTGGCTCAATGAGAATCCAAGGATAGAACAACTGGAACTGGAAACCCTCTGGAAAGACAATTGAATCCATGGAGAAGACTAGGTCAGGTTTTTGTACTCATGATTTTGCCCTTCACGAACAAATATTTTACCGTCTTCTAATTTTTCAGAGCAGGTATCCCTTCAATTTTAGGGAATAGTTTTGTTGCTGGGAAAATCGACCAAAAGCACAGTTAACGACAAAATGGTTTCTAAGATTTCCTGCCAGGATCAACCTGTAGCCTCGAGAATAGCATATGGGTCATTGTCGAACTGAAAAACGGTCTAGATAGGGCGTAATGAGGGCTCGAAGACCGGTTTGGCAAACGCGCACACGTGGCGGAAATTGACATGTATCGAAGTAATACCTTTTCGTGCTTCACAAATAATCACAAAAAAAGCTAAGAAGAAGCGGCGCAGAGCTCACTCCTGACGTAGACTCGATGGATAGGTGGACGAGAACAGGCTATTACACACTCCTTGCGCAATTCACGCAAGAAACAAACTTTAGTGAACTGCTACAGTAACGCTCACTAGATAGTACAATAAAATACAACAAAAGCAGGAAGGATGAGAACTCATTACAGTAATTAGGCCCAAACAAGAAGTGGGCGTGACTTTTTTCTGTGTCTCGATGTTACAGTTGACACTGCGGAGAAGCATTCGGTAACGGTACGTTCACTTGCTCTAATCTAGAGTCTTATGCTTGCTCCCCAGTCTGGAAGCAAGCTAGCCGAAGTGGTAGAGGATTCGTACTAACTTTATACAGAGGAACACTTTGGTGAGCAATTACATGTCGTCTGTTGTTTGAGTAATTTAGACTATTGCTTACTAACCGTGTCTGCATGTTATGTTCTTTGTTTGAATATATAAGAAATTCTGAAGATGTTGTTCAAATTTATAATCAATTCCAATGGTATTTCCACGTACGACGACCTATAAACCAATTTACGACGACCATACTGCTAGTTTTCTATTATATTATATTATTTTCTGGAATTATGGTAAACCGAAAAATCATTACGCATATAGCATTGAGATTCACGACGAGACACGAAAAAGTGGTTCTGTTAAGCTACTTGGACATTTTGGGAATGGTTCAGCCCGACTTTTTATCTATTAGGATTCGATAGTGACGATAGCATTTCGCTACATTTTCAAGTGCTGTCAAAGCACCTGGAAAGAGAAGTCAGGCTTTCAATGGCAGACTTTTGAGGTCTACGTTAGCCTCATTCTCGAATCTGATACCATGGTTTCCACATTCTACCAAAAGGAAAACCATCATAATTCCGGGACGGGTGTAGTAACTTCTCCCCGAAAACCGCGTCGCGGCAGCACCCAGTCGCGAGCTATGAAGGGAAAGGTGAATTCCCACTGGAAGGATACGGTGGTCCCCGCGGAACCACCGCAGCGGGATTTCAGGGAAAAGTACCGCAACCCCTCTAGGTTGAACAAAATATGTCGTGCCAACGGGTTTGACAATTCTTGAATGAAAGATGAAAAGGCGATCATCTAACGGCTTATGGAGTTCCGCTAGAGTTTTGACTACAATGAATGCTAAGAAGCTTTCTCAATCACAAAATCTTATGCAAAAAGAGCTTGTACTAGAATTGCAACCGCCGCAATTGAACTGCAAGTCAGGAGGCAATTTATAAGTAACACAGCGGTGAGATTGTACCAACGAGCATTGCCACATACATACGAGCCAGGGGCCGAATCCCAAACGATACATGGCTATGATTCCCGTCACATGGTACATGACGATAACTATCATCACATGGAGCGATATCCCTTTAGAAGGATTGGCATGCTCCGCATTGAATATTGTACACACCAAATACGGATTCAGGCGTCACAACGATCCGATATGAAAGCCGCCCTTGCGTTCTTGCGGGAGTGATCAACGTCGAAAGACGTTATCTTTTCATCTGAAATCCCCGGCTTCTTCATGCCTAGCGTCAGTCACTCCATTAGAACTCATAATATTCATGTTTACCATTAAACACGAAAAGCAGTGATGTTAAACGCTTTTTTTTAGAGATTGATTGGCAAGTTAATCAATTGAGTTACTTTGGATCATAAGGCTGAGAAGATATTCTTTACCTTTTTACGCTATGCTTTCGTTTTCTGCTTTCATGCAATTTAGAAATCCATAATTGAAAATATTTCGATCCAATTGAGGCATGTGCAGGTGCTACTGTACAATGTAGCAACAACAGCAAGAACTCCAATAACAACTTGATATTGTGTATTGCTATGCAGATGTATGACTTCTTCAATTGAGCTCTACCGCTGTTCTCTACGTACCAGTATCCGTATCTCTATCGCCTACCTTCAAGTTTAACCAAATCTGCGCTTTTGTGCATGAAGCTCTAGTACCTCACATTTTGGGGAAAGTATTCGAAGGGTTAGTGGTACCTCACCATAAATATGATTCGAGAAAAATATGATTGTCACATTCTGTTGGATGTGACGCCAATAAAGTTATGAGAAAATCTGATTTCTTCAGGATGAACCACCTACCTACAATTCTTTGTTTAATTAGTAAAGTGTAACATATTCGAATCAGCGGAACTTAGGAAGCAATATGAAAAACGTAGTAAAGCGACCAAGTCAAAATAAAGTAAAAAATGGCTCGTTTCAACTCCTCACCAGACGAACCACCATTTCTACCTCTCCCTGAGGCTCATCAGTGGTTTGGGATTAGTGGACAAAGAAATGATCGGAGAAAACCTCAAGAGACTTGCATGCCTGTTGGGCCATGTATGTAATGATTTTGAAACGAAGAAGGGAGTAGACGCATGCCGCCGTAGGAGAGCGGTGTATGTGCCTTATTTTACTGCACTGTTTTCAGTGATGATCATCAATTCTGGATCATGAAGATTTCTTATCGAACTTTGAATTTGTTGCTTCACCAGTACTTACTAAAGCATCTTGAAGCGAAATTGGCCTTAACCATGATGAATGGATTCGAAAAAATCTCAAGTTCTGAGAAGTGAATGGAGTAAGAAGAAAATATTATACCCCTCCGATTAGGCTTGAGAGAGTACTGCAGAATGTCTTTGTTGCCACGCATTTCTGAGAAGACGGGAGGTCGTCGTGGTGTTTGCTTGACGTTCTGAAGGATCCAATTAGTAATTGTCCTGGTCCAAAGGTCATCACAATGTCGCATAAGTGTCTAGCAAACCTGATCTTCTTCTTCAATCTTCATCTTAATTACTAGCTACAAGCAACCGCACCCCTGATCTTTGTTCGTAGATGGAGCTCATAGCTGGATCATGTTTTTACAAAACATCGCATATGGCGCTGGTAATGTATGATGAAATGTGTGGCTCCGATAAACTCGTCGTTATGATTGTGAAACTTCTATTAAAGGCACGGTTCACGATAAAAATGGTTTCTGAGATTCCCCTATAGTATAAATTTGAAGCTCTCCCTTATATCAGCCGTTATAAGGCCGAAATTCACCATGGATAGGGCAAAATAAAGGGCCAGAGATTGTATCGTGTGGATGCCACACCCATCGGACGAGTTTCAACGGCTTTGTAGAGGCTACACTATTCCAAGAGACTCCCATGTAGGGAGTTCAAATAACTTGACATAACCCATGGCGACAGTGAGAGACAGTTTCGGACAATTTCCACTTGATGTAGTCATCTCTTTGAGCAATAGAAGCAAGTTAAATCTCGTAGCCCTTACATGCCATTACTGTCACGGTGATCTCGCACAACCTCCACTCCCTCTGCCTTCGAAAAGCACTGAAGTAGGCGGTTTTTTCCGCTCTCTTCGCCCCGATGTACTCCTCTACATCAACGCTTACGCTTTTCGACTTAAAAAGGGTACCTCGAAATTCGTGAACTGTGCCTTTAACTGAATATGCGTCTATGGTTGATGCAATTTCACCGCGTCACTTCTTAATTTGACTTCTTCGATATCGGAAAGGATCGGAATCGCTGGTTGAGCAGGTAAACCTATGAAATTTGTGATCACACAGATGAACAAGCTAGAGTTCTGTTCATTCTACAGACATCAATCTAGCATAAGCAAAGTGATCCTGGTGAACGACAAGCCCCGCCCCACCTTTAATCCATGCGACGCTAGTTAACTTTATGTTGGAATTACTTCAGGTCTGTTCTTAATGAGGGGCATCATTCCATTGTGTTATAAATAATATCATTCGGAAACCGGCTAGCTTCCTGATCTGATTGTTGTGGGAATGCACTTTTAGCAGGTCCACGGGTGTCACGACGTTTGGCGCACAGCCAAAAGCAGAAGCGGGAGGAGTCAAATATAATGTCGTTTGTATCCAGTCCCCTTGATGTCTCTATATAAGGGATGATTGCAATCATGGAAGACGATACGGCGAGAAATTTCAATTCTGAACGTTGAGAAGCATCTCCTCCACCACTTCATCTGACTGCTCATTGTTGTGCCCGAGGAATCACTTCAGTGATGGTTCGTTTATGTTTAATATAGTTCGAGTAGATCGTGAAGTCGTCTTTTATCTGCAGCATATCTTGTTTTACTCGAAGGGAGGTTTATGTGGAAATCTTTTTTCTTAGCGAAAAAGCTTCTGTCTTCAGTTAGTACTTGCAAATCTGTTAAATTTTTTGAATTATTTGAATTGTGAGATGAATTGTCGTGACTCTTATTAGTTTCGACGCACTCTGGGTTCTATTTTATGGTTAACGAAGTCCTACCGAGTGCGGTCAAAATGAGATCGTCTATCATTCCGAGGGCAGCTTCCTTTGAAAGGTGTCTAGATTATTCCTCTGAGTATTTCAACCACTCGTAGTTGGAGGTTTGCGTAGGTTTCAGGGCGCACTCTAACACCCTCTGGTTCTCTTTATATCAAGGACCACCCACCCCTTTTAACGTCCGAATAAATAACTCAAAATCCAATATCACAAATGATGTTGTCGGGGGGGGGGGGGGCAAATAGGTGGTGCCTGTGAGTATTACTCTCAGCTTTGAACATTAGAAACAACACTCATGCCACTGTTTAATTTTTTCTTTTTCTCAACATATGATAGGCATGTCCAAGCTCTACTTATGTCATCTGTATGCTTTACCTAATGAGCTAGTTTTTTAGATCCGCAAGGTGATTCTCGTCTGCCTGTTCGCCATTCCTGCGAAGGCATGTTTCCCTCAAGGTGAAATTTGCTGTTATCCTGGAATACCTTACCTGAATGAAGAACCCAAGCCTAAAACAACACCGAAACCCCCAGAATGTGAGCCTCCCGCCTGTCCGCAGTGAGTTCTTGCGCATTGGTGTTCTTTCTGGGCAAAGATGGCTGAAGCCCACGTTCAGGCAAGCTCGAGTAGAAGCAAGAGTAGTGCAAGTGGTACCAGTAGCCTCGTCAGCATTATCACTTCCTCCTGCACCTCCAGCTCCAGCAGCGGTATTAGCACCAGTTCCTGCAGCCGCTCCTGTTGGTGGACCACTGGTTGCAGGTGGGCCATCATTACTTGGTGGAAGTGGTGCTCCAGTGCTAGGAGGAGGACCATCTTTTGGCGTTGCTAGTCCAACTCTTGGAGGAGGGTTGGGCGGCGGATATGCTACAGGAAGCGGTAGTCCCATCCTTGGAGGAGGACCGTCACTTGTTGGCGAATACGTAAAAGCTGGAGGAGTAGGAGGAAGCGCTGGTGCTGTAAGCGCTCCTGTTCTTGGTGGTGGATCGATCGGAGGCGGAGGATCCTATGCTTCTCCAGCAGTAACACTCGGCTGAGACTGTTCTGTGAGTTTTACTTGTGTACACTTTAGGAAATATAGCATTACACACAAGTAGACGGAGCAAGTCACCTTATAGAAAGTGCTTTACCATTTCCCAAAAAGCGTTTGGTTACCTAATGAGTCTTTATCTGATATCACGGAGAGCTTGAAGGGATTTTAGCTTGTTTTGTTTAAGTATTTCAATATACTATAAAGATATCTCGGCAAATGTTAAGATGCTTCAAAATAGGAATGGAGGGCAGGTGGTAGTGATTTCATCTTTCTGAATGATACCAGAAAGTATAAGAGTTTTTCGTACAAGCTTAAGCATCGGATGCACTTGATAAGCTGATTTGCTCCGCCCACTGCTAGAAATGTTTCAAAATGAATTGAGTTCCGTTTGCAGGCGAGAAAAGTGGAACTGTATCCGTTAATGCGACGCCATCATCATCACTCCTAAGACAATCACCATAGCCTTCCCGAACAAGAAGCAATAATTTCCTGACTGTCCTCACTACTCTTTGCTCATTCAATGAGTTGCTCTGACCTCACATGGTTGTATATATTGCACTACCAATGGCCTGGCAATATTGTAATTCATGTCCTAACTATTTTACTTGCTCAGTAATATATCTTTTTTGATGAATCCTAATGTTTGTGAAACGTGACCATACAACTTATCGATAGGATAATAGCCTATAAAATTTAGGGGTAAGATTAAAGTAACAAGAGGAACTCTTTAGTCTCCTCAACAAAAAAGACTAAAACTACTAGATGAACTATCTAGTCTCTGATGGTTTGCACGGAAGCCGTCACAGCTGGCCAACAAATGCATAAACGTGACGATCACTGGTTACTTACAAGGTCAAAGGTGGCCTTCAGACCCACTACTTAGCCATTAATGGAGTGCTGCCGTTATTGAAGAGTTCAAATTTAAGACAAATTCGATAAGCTCAAATGGAACAATGAGATATGCCACATCACTGAACAGCAAAAACTTGCTTACGCTCGTGCTACGATCCATTTCTACCTTATCCCACAACACGCGGTGATATGAAGAATTCAAGCATCAAATCCCTCCCCTTTCATGTTTTTCAACTGAACACACACATTATAGCGCTCCCACGATTTTCTTTCTTTCTTTTTTTCCAATGAAGCATGGAAAATCGGCCGAAGATTTATATTTGCTTAGCTAATGGCATTCTGATGCGGTGATGTAATCAAGAAAATTGGCATAATTTCAAAAAAAACTTGAATTATTCGATTCCGTTTTTTTNTTTTTTTGGTTTTACAACAAAAACGTTGAAGCCGGAACACATAGAAAACGAACTAACTGAAAATGCCAGGAGATGCAGTTCAGATCACTTTCGAGTAGTCAAAGAAGCTCGGGGGTATTGATGATTATCCGAGTATGAGAGCTTTTGTTAAATTAAGGTCACTGCGCACCTCGGCAGGAGGGATCTTATAAAGGTTCGGAAACTCCATGATCATTATGTAACCCGCATATCGATAACCAACAAGTCAAAGGTACTGAAAAGGATAACATCATCCAAGGCAGCGACGCTCTTTTAGAAAACTAGGTTTCTCGACAGAAGGTATTCCACTCTAACTGGCTCTCTGTTTTGATTTGGTGAAAAATAAAAACAAACAGTAAAGCTGAATTTGATATGTAGCTTTGTATAAAATGTCCTTCTACTTTGCTTCGCTCCGCATTTCACCTGTGTGAAAAAATAAAATTGTTAACAACAAGTATTCAGATTTTTTCCAGTCCAAATCATAATTTTCCCTAAGTGGCTTCACCCTCTGAATGTCGTTGTTGTTCCCAGCTATTTATCTTTCACTCGCTCAATGACGATATGCAGACAGCAAGCAGACCATGGGGTATTCTCACCTATTTAGATCGACTCGCACCCAGGTGTCCCTTAGTAGTATGCAGGTTCGCATACCCGAGTTCCCTGAAGTACTATGTACATACAGGGTGCGCTATAAATATGGTAACACTTTTCGGACGTCCGCAATTTCCGTGTTTGGAGGGTTTCTCCAAATCTGCACCTCCCCTTATAATTATGATATACCTTAGCCCACGTATCTACTTTAGTACACTCATTCCTCAGATTCCGAGAAACGA